CATAGGATGATAGTCAAGAGTGTAGAAGTCCCGAATCTTGAGAAATAGGTTATCACTCATACTGGAAAAAGCTTTCCTTCCATTTCTTAATTTATTCTTGTACAGCCAGGTCTTAGAGTTTTCACAGAGGATGCTGATTGTAATAAGTCAGTTTAGGCTAAGTTAGACTACTGTAACAAAACATACCCCTATCTCCAAATCTTGGTTGATTAAAACAGAAGGGTTCTTTTGGGATTTTTTTGTGTGGGTGTTTTTGTTTGTTTGCTCATTTTGTGTCACAGTCATAGACTGATTTGGGCTCTCCCATCTGCAGCCCACCTTGGCTGAGTGAACATCTCTGACACCTGCCAGCCAGTAGCTGTGGGAAAAGAATGATAGTGAAACCACACGGTAATTCTTGGAGCTTTTGCTGAGAATTGACATCTGACATTTTTTACTACATTTTATTGGCCAAAGCATGTCATGTGGCCAACTTGATGTCAACAGGGCAAGAAGGTTGAGTTGTACTTTTATAAGTACAAGGATCACCTAACACTGGAAGCAATAATTCAATACTCACACTTAATTAACTATAATGTATTAGGCTTAGTGAAACACCTATCCAAATAACTTAATAGGGTGGAAACACAAACGAGCTCTAGTAGCCTTAACTAACTCTATAAAAGAAATATTAAGGAGTAAAGGGTTGAAACTCCTCTTAACCTTTCTCAGCACTGATATATTGGGGGAAAAATAGTCTTTTCAGACTAGAATAGTTGACTTTAGAGGGCAGGAAGCAGAGCTCAAGGAGTTGTTCAGCCCAAACTGGAATCACTCCTCCATCACCAGCTACACAGCATGGGCCATGTTGCACAGCTTCGTGTTCTGTAACATTGGCAAAAATCCCGACTTCATTTATAACTCCCTGCATTGCTGTTCTTTTCAAGTACGTTACTAGGCCTTTATAAAGATTGATGGAGTGCTGGGAAACCATTGGATTGAAAGTCCAGATGTACATAAATCAAGTCGGTATCATTTAATTCAGAATGTTTCTACCCAAGTCATTTTGGGGTGGAAGTGGAGAGATTTATAGTGAGTCTTATAGGAATTGATGATGTGAAAAGTAAGAGATTTTAATGTATGATTTGGCTGTAGGAATCAACTGCAGAAGTTTTAAATTGACTGAAGCTTTGATTGATACTGGTTTAAAATGCATTTTAAACCACTTGAAATATATTCTAGAAGCTTCTTTAGGATGAAGAGGTGAATGTGATTTGGGCAGTCAAAAATAAGATCTTATTTACATACCAAGAAATCTCACCTGTCAATAAAAATGTATGTCTGCAAGCTTCTTTATAGACTAAATCACTGTTCTCTATCATACCTAGTTATAGATGTAACAAGTTTTACATGAAACTCTTATAGGATAAGAACCTAAGGTCACAATAATTGATGAAAAGACTTTCCCTGCTGCTTTTAGTCTCTTAATCTATAAATCGATCTACATTTGAAATTATCCCAGATTTTATATGGTGAAACATAAAAAGTCACAGTCCCAATTTATGGCCTTGGGGCCTCATACTAGCTAGGCACACTGAGCTCTAAACCTGTAGAGTGGGTGATATTTGCTATAATATTTTCTGAGCCCAACTCTTCCTGTACCCCTTTCATTTGCCTGAATGTTTTGATGTTCCCTAATGCCTCAAACTCCCTTTTCCCCTTTTTTATAAAAAAAACTATTGTTCAAAAAATTGCTTTTCATTAAAATTTATTAACAGATACCTTAATGACCAAGGAAATTTAACCTGTCTGTATAGGCCATGGTATTCAAATACCAAGAGAAAACAGCTTTAATCAAAGGAATGATGATCAAATGGGAAATTAAAAATAGCTAAAAGTAAAAGTGAAATAGAATCCTCTATTTTTATAAAATCTCATAGCAGAGCAAATTTAAAGGCAATGATTCAAAATGACAATTGGTTCAGTTCAGTTTCACATTTCTGCCTACCCCTGCAAAATTTGCAGGTATTATTGATAGAGCAAGTTCTTGAAGGAACAGAGATGTTTCTTCTTCTATGTGACCTTTGAAAATGTACTTCCCATTATGAATGAAAGATTGAACTAGCATTAGTTTAATGATGCATAATTAAGTCACAAGAAATGTTGCTATACAATTTAATTTTATGAAATAATGCATGTAAATATAGGTTTATCACATTTCCTTTCATGTCAATTAGGAAATCTTAATTCTTTCCCTGCCTCTGCTATTTGTTTAGAATCTTTTTAAAATCAGGTAGTTGGATTTAGAAGACAATATTTAAGATTGCTAAGTTCTGAAGTTCCTCACTGGTTCTTTTAGTTACAGTCCCACTGCTTAGGTAAAGTGAACCATCACAGCCAAGTTTATCTCTTTGCTGATTTTTTAAAAATTTTTTTATTTAGTAAATATAAATTTTCAAAGTACAGTTAATGGATAACAATGGCTTCCCCCCCCATAATTTCCCTCCCACTCACACCCCTCCCATCTCCTGCACCCTCTCCCATTCCATTCACATCAAGATTCATTTTCAATTATCTTTATATACAGATCAATTCAGTATATATTAAGTAAAGATTTCATCAGTTTGCACCCACACAGAAACACAAAGTGTAAAATTTTTTTGGAGCCTGCATACATTACTTCAGTATGAAGTCAGATACACCTGTACTAACCATCACAATGCCATCACCTACCAGCCCTTTTACATTTATTTAATCTAATGCACAAAACTATTCAGTGATTCCTAAATTTGGGTCTTAAGGTTTAAATGTCCTACTGATAAACATGATGCCTTTTATAAACTTAGTTTCCCTTTCCAGTGATAATTACTTACTATTCCCTTTTACTTTTGTCCTATAGTTGTGTTGTTTTCATGTTTTATCTGCATTATTCTCCTCATTCTGTTCTCTGGATTTTTACTGCTAGTCTACTCACCTAATTCACCCTTAAAAATATATCATAGTCTTTATTTATTGCACATTTTATTTTATATTTATTTAAATAGTAATAAAGTTTTAGATTACATACAAGTACACAAAACTAAAATATATTTCCCTCCTCAAATCGGTCCCACTGTCCAAAGAGTATTATTCTTTTAAAGATATATTTATTTGAAAGGCAGAGTGGAAAAAAGGGGGAAAGACAGAGAAATTTTATATCTGCTGGTTCAGTCCCCAAATGGCAGCAATGGCCAGTCCTGGGCCAGGAAAAGCCAAGAGCCAGGAAATCCATCTGGGTCTCCCAGGCTTGTGGCAAACTTAGGTACTTAAGCTACCATCTGCTGCTTCCCAGGTGTGTTAGCAGGGATCTGAATCAGAAGTGGAACAGACAAGTCTTGAAGCTGTACACCAACATCGGATGCCCCAGTGTTTACCCCACTGCACTACAATGCTTGCCCCAAGAGTGTTATTTTTATAGTATCTTGATTTTGGTTCTTCTGGTGATTAGCCTGACAATTCCAGACCAGTGCTATCCACTAGAAGCATAATTCAAATCATTTAATTTGCATAATAGCCACATTTGAAAAAGTGAAAATAACAGATGAAAAAAGTTTTAGTGATTATTTTTAACTCTATATTTCCAAAATATTATTACTTCCCATGTAATCAACATAAAAATATTTTAAAAATCTGTTTTTCAACTTAGGTGTATTTAATACTTATAGTAAGCATGTATCAATGTAAACCAGCTGCATTGCAAGCGCTCAACAGCCATTTATTTGCAAGTGGCTGTTGTATTGGACAGTGGGGCCCTAATAATATTCTCATCTATCTAGCTGGTTATTTGAAGTTTGAAACAGTATCCTGCCTTGAAACTGAGGAATTTAACTACCTATTTTGTAAGTATACAAAATTTGTATTTTTGTTTTCCCATTGGTCCTTTTTATTATTTTAAAGACTATACCTCATCTTTATTTCTTACACAAATATTAGTAACTCTTGAATTCCAGCCATGAGGAAATGTGGAAATTAATATTTTCTTACTTCTCTTCACCACCCCCACTATGCCTCCAAACTTTTGTCAACTATATCATTACTTTTAAATTATTACAGTTTACAACCTATCCATTTTGTTCTATCATTATAATAAATTGCATGGTCTTGTTTTATTAGGTCTTAGAAGTGTTTAATTAGTGTTTGGATATTTTTAGACTGGAAATATTTATTGTAAAATCAAGCTGTGTGATTGAACCCTTGAGAAGTACAATCTCACACTTTCCATCCATGTTAAAGAAGAAAGGTTTGACTCTTAAGGACTAATACCCTCTCATTTCTCTATTTTATCAATTTCTCAGCATCATGCTTCAGTTTGGTCAGCTTCATTTGAGAACCATAGTTCATTATTCAACTTTAGTTCCCTTATTATCCTTCATGAACATTGTTAACTAAGAAATATCTTGTCTATTGTTATCTGTAGAACATTATGATTTTTAATTATATCACTTAACACAAGAATTGATTGTCTTCTACAACACTATCTCAGGTAGCTCAATAACTTCCTTTCTAATTAGAATTCATTGCCATTATTTGTCTACTGGTGATCTGTGATTTGGGGATTTCATTTATTATGTTGGTTAAATTCAGCTTCTTATATGCAAAGTATTCCTCTTTCAACAAAGAAAATATTTGTTGGATTATATTCTCAAGTAATTGAAAAAACACAGGGAAAAGAGGTAAATTTCTTGAACGTTTGCATATTTGAAAATGGCTTTATTTTCCTTTCACACTAGACTGGTGCATTTTACTTTTACAAGGAATATCAGATTTTAATTGTATGGTTGCATGTTATAAATTCACATCAGTACATGTTTACCCCCTTGGAAATTATAATCTAAGTGAATTAGTTACACTGTTCAAGAATAAAGCCTTGAACTTCTCCCCAGTAAAGTACTTGTGGTGAAGCAACAGCCCACACTTTACCTTTAGCCACTGTTTTTACCAGTTAGGAAATCAAAAGTTTCATTGTCCAAACCCTCCTGTACGACTTAGAGGAATTGCAACATACATCTTCATATTTAGAAATGTTTTTCCTATCCACATTTTACAAAGACATATATGCATGGTGACTGCCTCTGCGACTTTGGAAGTACAGTCTGTGAACAAGGAGAAGCGAAACATGTTGGCAAAGCTGGTCATTTTCCTTGTGGATCTCATGCTTGTTTTGGCCATTTCTGTCACCTTATATGCTGTTTACTTACTAGCAACCGTGGGTATTTTTATCTCAGTTGTTTTCTATATTCTCAGAGGGGAGATGGAAAAAAGCTATCTCTTCAACAAGAACAGAGTCTGGTTGCTGCATTCTAGCAAAGCTGGTGAGAAGCCATTTGCAGGCAACATAGAGAAAGTGAGCACCAGGATGCTTCCCGTCCACTGTCCAGCTGTAAGAGAAGGGGCCTCGCTGTGCCAGTGGAACACTCCTGCCTCCCAAAGAGCAAGGAAGTCGCTGCCATGGAAGAGACACTCGAGAAGACTTGCAAAAATGCCACACCCACCTAACCAAGAAACACATTTTTAAGGTGAGTTTATTAACCGTCCAACTTAATTCTCCTTTTCCTGAAGGACATAGCACAATTACATGCTTTCTTGAGCTGAAGAGATTAAAAACATTTTTGTTTCCATCTGCCTTTCATTTTTCAGAAATGGTGTTGGTAGCTTCTATAGCTACTATGTTATTAAACTGAGATGCTCGTTTACCCAGAAACAGGCCAGACCTACTGATGTTATTTTCTCCCCCAAGCACTGATTAGACAAACTTTCACTCCTCCCTAGAAACTTTGCTGCAAGTTTGGATAGAAGAGAACTGTTTGAGAAAATGGATACTTTGGCCACAGATGGTATTTTTACTTGACATCAATCAGTGAAGGTGTCCAGGAGCTGCCCTCGAGTGGACAATGTATTTTCAAAATGGTCGTTGGAGTAAAAGCAACTTTTGAGCACGTGAATGTGTAGAACAGAGTCCTACTCTCATTTTGGTTTGTTGTCTGCACACTGCAGATTGTAGGGAGCAAATTTCAGCATAATCTAATGAGCTCATTTGAAATTACCTGGTTGCTTGGTCTCTTTCACAGAAGTAGTTCAGTGGAATAAAATGGGTCAATTTTGTCTTGGTTTTTGTCAGATAAATGGTTACTGTAAGTGCCTTATGTTTGGGTTTTAATGTTATAATTCAATATGTCTAATGGGGTACACATTTATTTTTTGGTTGCAGAAGAGTCTAGTAAATTGACTCAACTTTATCAATTGTAATTACATGTCTTAAAGTCAAGTGCTTGTCATTATATTTCTCCTCTATTGCCTTTATGGCTTTTGACATCTTAAATTTTTAAGTTATTTCTTCCTGATAAACTGAAAAAATATTTTATGTCAAGAATGCCTCAATGATTCCTTACCAAAAAGGTAAGATAGTAATACTCAATAAAGAAAAATAATAGTTCAGTCTCACAGGCAGTAAATATTTAAATTTTCAGAAAATAATGAATTTGTGTTAACACAACAATGTTATATATGCTTTTGTACTAGTGTTTATTGAGAGTGAAATAGCTCCTCTCACAGAGGAAGGTGGTGACATATTACTGAAGGAATACAGACTATAATAAGGAATTTTAAAACCATTTTCATTACATAATTTCCAAATTCATAACAGATGTAGACAGGAGCGACTTACCAGGTGGGGTGTGGTATGCTTAACAAAATCATACCTCAATCTAGTACCTCTATCTATTGACCACTTACATGGAATTTACAATTACAGAAGAATTATTTTATGAAATGGTTCCTCAATTCAAAGACAGCTTGGCAAATATCATGGGAGAGGTACACAGAGTATGTTTGTAGTTGTTTCTAAATGTTACCATTGATTCATTCTCTCTGCAATGTTATCTATAGATACTAAGGGAGGAGGAATAGATCTTGTAAATTCTGAATTAGAGGAGGTAGCAGAGGAGGTGCTGGCTACAAAGTGTGGCCTGAGGATAGGTATACTAGGGAAGAACTAAGAGGCAGGGATAGGAAAACATGCATAGAAAAGGGGGAAGGTATGTGACATGTGAACATTGAAAGTGATATAACTGAAGGCTACCAAGGTAAGCATTCAATTTTGCCTTGCATAAGCTTTTGAATACCTAAGAAACTTCTACACTGGACAGTGCTAACTTGCAGGGGTAACGGAACACAGTTGTATCCCCAAAAGATTCCTTGCATGGTCTTTGCCATCTGCCCCAGAGTTCTTTTATCTCCCACATGTTCCCATTGTAAAAGATTGGAGGCAATGGTAATAATTTGATAAAATAGCATACTAAAAATGCTTTATATTTCTGATATTTTTTGAAGGTGGCCTTCAGCCTCCACCACATTCTTGTCTTACATCTTCTGTCAGAGTATCTGCTAGCCCTGGAGGGCATTTGAGTTTGTACAACTTGCCAGCCTCCTCCACTTGAGGTCCTACATACATCCAAAGTTGTGACTACTCCCATAGCCTCTACGTGGGTCCCAGACTTAGCTTTAGTTCTGCTGAATTCTGAATTCAGTAAGGTGAAAATTCATTTCTAACACTTATTATGTATTATGTACCAGCAATTCAACCGGGGCTTCTTTTAGCTCTGTTTTATAGGCTGTATCAGCACAGTCTTAAAATTCAAAAGAAGCTTGGGAGTCATTCATTACACTTCTCATCCAGTTAAGAAATATCCTCTACAATATTCCCAACAGATAGTTGTCCAACTTCCACTTAAGCATTTTGCATGAGATGCAATTTCTTACTTCATAAGGCAGCCTATTGTTAAGAAATTCTTTATGGTATCCATTAGAAATCTGAGTCCCCCAAACTTTCATTACTTTTTCCTATTTTTGTTCTGTTTAGCAATCCAGAAAACAGTTCACTAAGTACAACGACTTCACTGAAATCATAAATTCTAAGATGAACTTCTGTCCTTATGAATTTTCTGCTACTCAAACATTGAACTATTCTTCCTTTTTTCAGTACAAATAGGATTTCATTATGATAATAATAATAAGAAATCTAGAGCTTTTTATTTTAATAGCGGATTCTTGATTTGTCATTTCTAACTTTTTGCACATATTTGTTAATCAGAAATTTTGAAGCTAATTTCTTCGAAGCTTCCTCAAGTCTGGGAGTGTCGCCAATTTGCACTGAAGAACAACATTTTATTAGCACACTCATAACTATTAAAATGTAATTCTAATGCATTGACCCAATTTCACAGCACATCAAAAATTTAATTCAAATGAATCTCACAGATGTCCAATAATTTTCCATTGCATGTTGTTACTTGGGGGGAAGGTTGCATGAACTTGAACATTGTGGAAAACTGTCCGTCTCTTCAGTACAGTTTTGGTGACTACAGAAAAAGCAATGTCTTGAGTGGCAAATTATACTAATTTAAACAAAATGAAGCTCCTCTGAAAAAAAAAAAGTAGCTGACAAAAACTGGGAAGAGTCCAGACATCTCATTTCTGGTGGCGATGGAACCACAGAAAGGGAAACTACAACTGGAGAAGGGAAGTTTCCATGGCCAATATCCCTGTGGCTTTGCTGCTAAGTTTGCAGGAGTTCAAGTGCTAAAAGCCAAAGATGTTCTGACATTGTGGATGGCTAAGGGAATACAAGGTCTCAGAAAACAAGGAGGGAGCTCAAGTCCTGGACTGGATAACTACACTCCCCTTTTTGGCTCCTGTCTCTGGTGACATTTCTAACAATATATAAACACCTGGATCTAGGATTCCCATTTGGTTCTTGCCCATGCCTTCTCCTGGTACTTTTTTGTGTTAAGTCAGTACCTCTGTTGGGTTCCATTCCCCCATGCCCCTGCTCCTGGAAAGAAAGGCATGTAAAACTGATGACTTTTAAGGCTCTTTAGGGTCTCAAATACTGTATATTTCAACAAATAAAATTACATTAAAATATAAAGTTTGTTCAGTCAAGAAAGCAATTTATACAGAGGAGCTCTCGGTATTGAAGAGAAAATTTCTGGGATAAAATTTTCTTGGGGACCCAACATTTATCCTATGGCTCTTCTTGCATCTTTTCCTCACCAAGTTTTCTATCGCATGCACACTTGCATCCTACACGTGTCCATTACTTCCTTAGTTCAGACAAGCTGACCAAACCTCTAAACCCATACATTTTTATTCTATGCTCAATCCAGGCTTCTGTTTGGAATTTAATATTGAGTACTTGCCTGTCCTTCAAGAATTCAGTTAGTTCATCCATAATTGCATCCACAGAGCAAATAATATCAGTAGCCAGTCCTGGCCTTTTTTTTTATTATTATTTTAAGGGTTTATTTGGTAACTACCCTCTCTTACTGTCTCTGCTAGTCAGTTTTGCAAAAGAAAGATACATAATACTTAGATTTTGATGGCCAAAGGATTCCCTTTATGTTATTTGAAAGGATCTGTGAGCTAGACAAGAGTTAGAAACTTTAGGCAAAGTAATCAACTACTTAAATAAATCACATGTAACCTTTTTAAAAGTTAAAAGTTTCAATAACAAATCCCAAGAGTTTGCCAATTTTAATTTTATTCATTTTAATATCTTGGGTTTTGAATGAGAAAATTAATCTAGGCTATCCAATTGATTTGCATTGCAAATCTTCTTTTGTTACTTAAAAGACAGATTTGATTAAAAGGAAATGGATTGTTTGGCAAAGATTTCTTGGATAAATCATCAAAAGCACAGGCAAAAAAGTAAAAATAGATAAATTGCACTGCATCAAAAACTAAAACTTCTGCACATCAATCCACAGAGGACAAAAAAAAACAGAATGAGAAAGTAACCCATAAAACAGGAGAAAATAATTGCAAAGCATGTATACAGTTTAGTATTCAAAACACAAATAATTCCTGCAACTAAACAGCTACAAAAACAAAAAAAACCCTTATTAACAAACAGAGAACTCAAATGGACATTTCTCCAAAGAAGAAATTTCTCCATGCAAATGGACAATACTTATATGCACATGAAAAGATGCTCACTAATCATTAGGGAAGTGCAAATCAAAACTACAAAGAGATATTATCCATACATTGTAACATTGTAATGGCTATGATTAAAAAAGAAAAAAAAAAAAACAGAAAAAAAAAGTGATGTTGGGAAATTGGAGCACTTGTGTACTGTTGGTGGGAGTGTAAAACGGAACAGCCACTATGGAAAACAGTATCATGTTCGTCAAAATGTTAAAAATAGAATTCTCATATGATCCAGCAATTCACCTTCAGTGTATGTACCAAAAAGAACTAAAAACAGTATTTTGGCCGGCACCGCGGCTCACTAGGCTAATCCTCCGCCTAGCGGCGCCGACACACCAGGTTCTAGTCCCGGTCGGGGCGCCAGATTCTGTCCCGGTTGCCCTCTTCCAGGCCAGCCCTCTGCTGTGGCCAGGGAGTGCAGTGGAGGATGGCCCAGGTGCTTGGGCCCTGCACCCCATGGGAGACCAGGAAAAGCACCTGGCTCCTGGCTCCTGCCATTGGATCAGCGCGGTGCGCCGGCCGCAGCGCG